ACAATATAAAGTATTATTAAAAACTAATGAGATTGAAGTAATAAAAAAAAAAACTTTCTAACAAAATAAAAAGGGATGGAACACTTCCAAATTCATTCTATGAAGCCAGTATCACACTCACACTAAAATCAGATATAGACACATCAAGGAAAGAAAACTACAGATGAACATCCCTAATGAATTTAGTTGCAAAAGTACTTAACAAAATATTAGCAAATTGTGTTCAACAACATATTGAGATTGTACACCTAACCAAGTTGGTTTTATCCTAAAGTTGCAAGGCTGGTTTAATATGCAAATCAATAAATATAACTTTTCACACATATAGACTTAAGGACAAAAGTCACTTAATCATTTCAATAGATGCAGAGAAGATCTTTGACAAAATTCAGCACTCATTCATTATAAAAACATTGAGGAAACTAGAGATAGAAGGAGCCTACCTAACACCATAAAGGTTACATATGAAAAACCCAAAGCCAACCTCATAGTAAATGGAGAAAAACTGAAAGCATTTTCTTTAAAATCTGGAACAGGACAAGGATGTCCACTGTCACCACTCCTTTTTAATATAGTGCTAGAAATTCTAGTCAGAGCAATTATGCAAGAGAAGGAAATTAAAAGGATAAAAATAAGAAAGGAAGAAGTCAAATTATCACTGTTTGATGATATGATTCTATACCTATAAGATCTAAAAAATGTCACCCAAAGACTTCTAGAGCTAATAAACAATTCAGCAAGATAGCAGGTTACAAAATCAACATATAAAAAGAAGTCTCAGTCCATAGATAGCTAGCGTCATTGCTCTGGGCTCTATTGAGGCAGAACATCATGCTGGAAAGCTAAGGTGGGGTAAAATAGCTGGGAACATGGCACCAGGAAGGGGGTGAGGAGGGAGGGAGCAGGGGAGAGGGGTGGGGTGGGGGAACGAGCTGTTCAACAAGGACAATATATATAAAACAAAGGCATGTGCCCAGGGCCACATCCTATCTGCCTACAGTTACTACCCAGTTAATCCCTATTAGGGGGATTAACAAATTGATTAGATTAAGGTTCTCATAATCTGATCATTTCAGCTCTAAACTTCTTTTCACCTCTAAAATCTTTTTCATTGTCTCTCACTTGGGCTTTTGGGGGACACCTCATATCTAAATTGTAACAGCTATCATAACAACAACTGCATGGTACTGGCATAAAACCAGACACATAGACCAGTCTTACAGAATAGAAGAGACAGAGATAAACGCACACACTTGAATTCCATCTGATACTGGACAAAGTTGCCAAAAACATACATTGGAGAACAGATAGCCTTTTTAACAAATGGTGCTGAGACAACTGGTTATCCATATGAATGAAATTAGATACTATCTTTCATCCTGCACAAAAATCAACTGAAAATGAGTCAAAGACAGAAATTAATTTACTAACTGTAAATTAGTATAACCACTAGAGAAATCAGAACCACCATATAACCCAGCCATACCACTCCTTGGTATTTATACTAAAGAATTCAAGCATCATACTACAGTGAAACTCATAGAAGAAAATGCAGGATCAATAGTCCAGCACCTAGGCACAGGCAAAACTGTCTCAATAAGCTCAGAAAATAATACCAAGAATTAATAAATGTGATGAAATAAAATTTAAAACTTCTGCAGAGCAAAGGAAACAATTAGGGATATAAACAGAGAACTTAAAGAATGGGAGAAAATCTTTGCTAACTTACTATAGTGACTTACCCCTGTTTATAGAAGAACAATTCACAATAGCCAAACTATGGAACTGGCCAAGGTGTCCATCAATAGATGAATGGATGTGGTATATATACAAAACAGTATTCTGCTTAGTCACAAAGAATGAAATTATGCAACTGGAGAACATCATGCTAAGTCAAAAAAGCACGACTCAGAAATTCAAGAGTCCAATATTTTCTCTCATATTTGTAAGCTAGAAAGAAATAAGGAATAAAAAAGGGAGGGGGTTTATGAAAACAGAAGGGGCTAGTTGTTGTTAGTGGTGGTGGGAAGTATATGATACCTCATGCCATCTATTTCTCTGAGACATTAACTCCAGTCAAACTTGTCCTCTAATTAAAAGCTACCTTCCACTAAAATCAATGATATTTGAATCCCAGTTTAGCCAGTCTAGATACTTCATAGCTCTTAAAACCAATGTGAGTTGTTAAAAGGAAAGGTTGATAACGGGGCATGGGGGAATAGGATTTTATTTTTAACTTAATTCAGGGCATAGATAAATTTAAAGTGATATTTTGATGGTGGTTTTTTTTGTTGTTGTTGTTGTTGTTTTTGGTTTTTTGGGGGGTACCAGTGATTGAACCCAGCGGGGCTTAACACTGAGCCAAATCCCCAGCCCATTTATTTTATTTTATTTATTTATTTTTCTTTTGAGACAGAGTTTCACTGAGTTGCTTAGCGCCTTGCTATGTTATTGAGGATGACTTTGAACTTGTGATCCTTCTGCCTCAGTCTCCTAAGCGACTGGGATTATAGGCTACTGTACCTGGATAATGGTGTTTTTAATAATGCCTTTTATACTGTCATTTTGAAATAATGTCAAACTATAGAAAAGTTGTATGTGTAGTACAAAAACTCTCATATACCCTTTACTCAGTTACATTAACTGTAAAAACGTTTTGCCGCAACTATTGGTGTCTCGCTCTACTTACCTACCTATCTACCTACATACACACATACCTGCTTATCATTTAACATCATATATATTGTTTCTGAATAATCTGAGATTTAATTGCAGAATGTACTCATTTACCTCAAATACTTCAACATCTATTTCCAAAGAACAGACGTTCTCCAATAGAATTATCAAATTCAGAATTTTAACATTGATATAATACTATTTTCTGATATCTAAGCATATTAAAAAATTGCCAGTTTTTCAAGTAATACCTTTTATGGCAATCTCTCCCTCTCCATCCCACCTCTAAGATCTGATAATCAAGATTCATGGATTGTTTTAGTTGTCAAGTTACTTTCATCTCCTTTAACCTTTGTCTTTCATAACATCTACATTTTTGAAAATGCCAGTTTTGAAAATGTCCATCAATTTAAGTTTGTCTGATGATTGTATTTAGATTATGTGTTGGAGTATAATTATAACTTTAGATTTACATGGTCTACCACACCCTTCTACCCAACCGCCATTGTTTCATAAACAGCTTTATGTTAGAATGAGCTCATTTGAGAACTGAAATAATTTTGAGGCATGACTGAAAACACTCCTGACTCAAAAACCTGCCAGGGATCACTGTATTTTAAAAGCAAAATTTCTTATCTAAAGTTACAATACAAAACAAACATTTTTCTTCAGTCACAAAAGCAAATACTCTGTGTGTATGTGTGTGTGTGTGTGTGTGTGTGTGTGTGTGTGTGTGTTTCTGGAAATTGAATCCAAAGTTTTGCATGTGCTAGGCATGTGCTCAACCACTGAGCTACATCCCAGGCTAAGCATATACTTTTAATTGCAAGTGTAGTCTGCTTCTTATATAGACAACTCTATGCATGTTTCAAGATGATAGATGATGGAATTTTTACTTAAAGTTATTTTGAGAAAGGATTTACTATAAAACACTATAACAATAACCTGCTTTTTACAACAGACTCAGTGATTGATGCATTAAACTTTTTAATCCATTATTAGTGTGTCTCATTTTACCTGAGGCTTATATATCACATAGCAAGGCCTCCCAAGAGGCTAGATTTAAGAACTGCTTAAGTTTTTAATTGCAATCAAAGCTAGGTTGGTTTTGGGCAGTTGGGAATTTGTGAGGGCACCGAGTACACTGTTCACTGTGAACGTGGCAAAATAAAGAAGAAGGGTCAGAAAGGGAAAAGGGATTCAAACACTAACTTCATCTGTCTTTGAGTTTGCCCAAAGATAGCCCTTTTCTGGTATGTCCCCACTAACCAAAAAAGAAGGCAGGTGAGGTTTATTTCAAAATACAGTTTCTGGATTAGAGTGTTTAAATTTGTTTTTATTTAAACCTGTAAATTTCAAGTAAATATCTCTTCTTATAAATAATATTTGCCATGAAGTGAGTGAAAGAAATATCTTTCTTCTTTTATCATTCAATATAGCGAGGAAGCACAGTATGATTTTTTTTTTTAAATCTCTCTCTCCTTTTCCTAGGCATCCATTCCCAGAATTCTATTGTCTTGTGTTATTTCTTTTTTACTTTGTAGCAATAGTAGCAGCAGTTCTTGAGAGGAACAAATAAGTCATTGGCCATATATGCAAAGCACAAGTTCCTACAGGCAAGATGAGTGGCACAAACAAGAGGTGATATTTTTCAGTTAAAAAAAAAAACAGCCAATGAATGCAATCTGATTCATTTCTCAAATTGCACCTGAGAACACAAATTTCCATCACTGAGTGAACTTTGTCTGCAGAGTTCCTTTAATCAAGGCATTGAGCATGGGTCTGTGTTGAAAGTTTGAGGAAAAATTTTTCAACTAGTGTTTATATTATGACAACAAAAGAAACAGTAAGATACTTATAAAATGAATCACATCATTTGCTTAAAAGTTAACATTAAGATAAATTTGGAAACTTCAGTTAAAAATAATTATTTGAGCTAGATAATTCAGTTTATGATTATAAAGTATTATCTATAGTCCGATTCCCCAAACCTTTTTTTTTTGCTTTAATCTTTATAATTTCTTTTAAAGTTCAATTGTTGCACCTTGCAAACTTCACCTAATGAACATAAAAAAGAGGATCTTAATGTCTTCATTTGGTTCATAATTATCCCTTTTTAAATACTCTTCACTCTAATTTAGAAGAGGCGTCTAATTCAGTTGGAATCTTGGTATGAATAGGAATTATTGGAACAGCCCATTTGAAGATTTTGTTTTCATTAATTTCCTGTAGGTTAATAATGATGTAGTTACTGTCCTATTTTGCAAACAAAAACAACTCAAATCCAATATCTTCATTGATGACAATTTCTAGTCAATATTATTTAGTTTACTTTATCTTCTAATCCAATAATTTTGGTTTTGAAAGAGATAGCAAAAATATTTTCATGTTTTTGGAGGCATTGGCTCTTTTTGCTTCAGTATATTTTGGCTTCTCTTTTCTCTCTGCTTTCTTCAGATGAACTTTCACTCTGGAGATTTCTTCCAAGGAAATATCTACGAGAATTAAGACGACCGTGTGGCCAGGGAAATGGCTGGAAGTGGAAACGGTGGTTGCACCTTGGAGGGAGAAAATGTCTGTTTTGAAACCCAGGATAGATTCTAGGCCTTCTTTGTGTAATACGACTGAAGGGATATTTGGGTGTCCTAGTAATGGGCTGGACCCTTGTTGTCGGATTCCTCGTGGTGGGTGGAGGGGTGAGTGTGAAGATCTGGCAGTCTGTAGGGTTTATATGTTGTGAGCCTCCTGGTGGGGTGACAACCTCTTCTTGTCCTGTAGGGAGGAAAATAGGAGTCAGAAAACAGGCCTGGTAACAGAAGCAGAAGCAAGATAGATCCTTGAATGTGGGTGCAGGGGAGAAACAAGAAATAGAGATGTCTTGGAGCATGTTGGAAACAAGGTCAATAAAATGAAATGTGGGTACACCTTATAATCCAGCATTTCCACTCTATGGAATTGACCCAAGTTTTTATTTGCAAAAGTTTGCAAAAACAAACAGAGAAAAAAACTAGTTCAAGGATGTTCATAGCAAACTTTTTCATTATAGCCTAAACTTGGAAACAATCCAGGTGTCCATAAATAGAAAGGTTAAATAAACTGTGTATATTCATACAATGAAAAGTACTCATTGTGGAAAAGGAAAATCTACTAATGTGCACAGTAATATAGATGAATCTCATGAACATTATGTTAAGCAAAAGAAGTTGGACACAAAAGAGGATACATATTGCAAAAGAATACAGCAAGTGAAACTGTGGTAAAAGAGTCAAATAATATTGAGCTCAGGGTTAGAGTAGGAATTGTTTAGTGGAAAGAGTAACCAGCAAACTCTCAAAATATTCTGTATCTCAATCTGGGTGGTTTTCTAAATGGAGCTATCTACGTCTCACACATATACACACATACATATAGATGTGTAAGCATTCACATACACACATATAAATCTCTATACATGATGTATGTTTGCACACATACACATATATGTATGTATATATAAAATATAATAAGCTGTAACTTTAAGATTTGTGGAATTTATTATGTGTAAATTATAACAAAAAAAGAAAATTCATGAGGAAAAAAATTTTTTAATGTTAAGAATATAAAAATAACATTGAAATTTCCTTTTCCCTGCTCAGTCAGTAAAGTCATTCCTTAGGAAGGGAGGGGCATCTATAAGCATCAGAAGAAAGAGTGCTGAGGACCAGGACGCAATTCATTTTTAAGAAGAAATTTGGGTTAAGTTCCAGCTTCAAGGTCTTCCCTTGACTAAATCACCTATCAAAGTTGGCAGTGAAAAGGAAGTTTTCCTGTAGTGAATAGTTTCTTCACTTCTGCAGAGGCTCACCCACACAGGCCTGGGAAGGAATGCCAGGCATGGGTGATGGAACCATGAACCACCACAGGAAGCTGAGAGTGCAGAAGCATTTAAGAACTAGATTCCCTGGTTTCTGGGCTGTAGTGGATATGCTTACATAGTTCCTGTGCCCATAGTTCCTTCCAAATACTGTCTTATCTACAACCTCTGGAAAGGTCCATCTTTCACACCTTCTGACTATGGCTGATTGGATTGTGGATAGACCCTAAACTAATTTATTGGCTAGTCAATGATGAATTGGATCCTCCCTTGAGAATTAATTATAGCAAAAAAGACATAGTGAAAGCTGTTACTGGAAGGCAGGGGCTGGAGTGTCAGGCTTTGGCCAGATGAATGATGAGAAGCATAGATGCCAGGATACAGAAGTAGTGAACTGGGGAAGGGGAGAGAGAGAGAGAGAGAGAGAGAGAGAGAGAGAGAGAGAGAGAGACTATATGGTAACAGTGCTTGCTGATGGGACTAGCCTTGGTTCTTGACTTTCCAGGGTTGGTCCCTCTGAGGCTCAGCTGACTATACTTAAGGTTCTTGAAGATATCCTCATAATGATCACTCCACCTCCAACTCTATTCTCTCTGTTTTATTTATTTTTTGGTACTGGGGAGTGAACCAGGGTCTTGCATGTGCTCATGCTCTACTACTGAACTCTTGCTCTACTCTTTTTAAAACTAGCTTGAATGGGTATCCATTCCTTGAATAAAATGCCAACCCTTTCCCCATACCTAGTCAGTATATTGAATTGTAATCCTGTGATGAAATTAGACTAACAAACTCACTTTGAGCTTCATAAGATGATTAAACCCCATATTACTCTTTGTGATAAGTTTTGAATCTTTGTGACATGAAAACTTTCTACCCAGAATCTAGTCAGCAGGGGAGATGCCAGCCTCATTATTAATCCCTATTTTGACATTGTGCTATAAAATGAAGCTTAACTAGGCCTTGAACTCTGCTATTTATTAACCACTCCAGCTGTAAAACAATCAACATACCTGCCCCTTGGGTCCATCTCATTTCTTGAAACCTGAATAGGCTGTGGGATGTCCAGTAGTATCTAGTGTTCTCTTCTGGGAATTCCCAAGGATTCAAAATCAAGGAACAAGCTTGCCCCAACTACGCACCCAAGAATGTGGGCAAGACCATGTAAAATGCATTCTTCTAGCAAATTACACACAGAGTCATTATCTGCTTGGTAGCACATGTATTCTAAAATGTGGGACCACAGGGACTGATTTGGGACCCCATTACATCTTACAAAGTAAAGGAAGGCCACACATCTGAGTGATATTTTTCATGATTCTACCTTTGGCTGAGTTAGCTCTGTTCATTATTCTTTTCTTTATCCTTGTTCTGCACTGTTCCTACTGTCTTCATAATCTTTGCTGTCTCCTCAAATCTCCTTCAAAATTTTCATATTTGAAGAATTATCTGTACCTTTATCTTTAAAAATTTTTTTTATTTACACATTTTTTTTTTTTTTAGTTGTTGATGGACCTTTCTTTTACTCGTTTATAGGCGGTGCTGAGAATTGAACCCAGTGCCTCACACATGCTAGGCAAGTGCTCTATCACTGAGCTATAATCCCAGTCGTCTCTGTACCTTTCTAAGTAGATAATTTAGCTTCATATTGCAGACAGAAAACTGAGGTGCTCTGCCATGAACTTTGGTTCCTATTTCTTCTCTTTAAAGAAAAATCTATATGCTACATAACTATTTAATCCTTTGGAATCTGACTCTGAATCTTCCACTCCACCAAAGCTACTTTGGAAAAAGTCATCAATAGTCCTGGGCTTCTAAAAAGTTGATTCCAGGTGCCTAAAGAACTATTTTCTGCCCTACTTTCCTGGATTTCTTGTTAGAATTCCAAGTTTGGTCTCATCAGGGAAGACTTCCCTACTTGGAGCTGCTGAATGTCCCTGGCAACCTACTTGCATAGCATCCAGTGAATCCACTCCCATAATACACATCAATCGTGTGATTACCATTCAGTGGTAATGGTAATCCTGTTCCAATGAAATATCTACGTGAATATCTTGTAGACGGCAGTCTCAACCCTAGCCCCATGCCTGCAGTAGAACTGAACTGAGCAAAAGAAATCTATTTCTACAATTGGAAAAGTTACCATGTTCCTACCTCTCAGGGACAGCGTGATGATTAATAAGCATTTGATGACATGCCATCAAAGTACTGAATGACAAAGATGAGAGTTTTCCAAGCGTAATGAGACCAGAGTAGGTCAGACATTTGATGTACATTACAAACATGTCAGGAGGCAGAGAACATAGTGTTGAAAAGCTTGGGCTCCCTGAGTTTTGTAACAGTGTGACTATAGACATATTCCTTAACCTCTATGAGTTTTTTTCCTTATTTGTAAAATGGAGAAAACAATATTACTGTCTCATAACTTGTGAATTTATCTAAGATGTATAAAGTGTTCAGAGTATTGCCTGACACATGGTATACATTTAGTGTTAGCTATTATTATTAATCCTGAAGATTATGAAAAGATTCTATTAGCATGAGCTCCATTTTCTTAGGCCCATCTGGTTATATCTCATAGATAATCTCTGCATTAAGGACAGGACAAAAGAATACAGATTAATAAGAACAGGCCTTCACTGGGCATGGTGGCACACATCTGTAGTTCCAGTAACTCTGGAGGTGAAAGCAGGAGGATTGCAAGTTCAAGTCCAGTCTCAGCAACTTAGCAAGATCTTAAGCAACTTAGTGACACCCCGTTTCAAAATAAAAAGGGTTGGAGGTAAGTTCAGTGATAAGTGCTCTGGGTTCAATTCCCAGTACCAATAAATAAATAAATAAAGGACTTCCAAGTCAAGAAATAATTGTTGACTCACAGTCACTGCCAATGTCCTTAGCACCTAGAATAGTTCCTGGTTTACAGGTGTGTTCAATAAAACACTTGATGAGTTCAATGAATTGTCGAGCAGACACTGAATTTTCCTCTGATATTTTTGTGGCACTCAGTGTTTAAATCAAGTCTCAGAACATTTGATATATTTAAATTTTAGCATAATTTGAAAATCAAAATATTTCTTGGAATTTGGATATCACTTTTAAATGGGTTTATTATTGTCTAGACATGAAATTCATAGCATACCAACAACCAGCACTTTTCAAAAAGGGTAATGAGGAGAAGATCTTTGTTATAATTACCTCTACTCTGTGGTTATTTGGGCAGACAATAGCTGGTTTGTAGTGAACTATACTGGTTCTTAGAGAAGTAAGCTTTGTACTTGGAGTTTAAGTATACAGTATTCCATTACAGTGCACTTGGATTCTTAGAAGAATTCTCATATGCTTTCAGAGTTGAACCTAAAAGAAATATAAGTTCTGTGTTTATTTAATTTTCTCACGATAACTGCAGCTCCATTCATTTTGTGGATTCACAAAATGACTGGCTATTGTGGTCAAATCTGTAATTTTAAAGATATAGAATTTGGAGCCCCAAGGGTGTTCCACAGGCCTCTTTCAATTCTGTGCTGTAAATCAAGTCATTTCAACAGTGTTCAGGTTACCGTGAGAGTTGCTGTGCACATACAGAGACGGTAAGGACGCAGCCCTGCACCAAAGAAATGCAGTGATGCTGCAGATATCTAGATCTGCTCTGCAGAGTGGAAAGCTGAATGTATGTGAGTGATGTACAGATTGCTTTAAGAATTCAAAGGAAAAAAAAAGAATTCAAAGGTATATGTGTGTGTGAGTATGAAAGAGAGAAAGAGATTGCAATTTTTTAAAAAAAGTTTTTTTGTAGTTATAGATGGATAGCATGCCTTTATTTTATGTATTTTTTAATGTGATCCTGAGGATTGAATCCAGTGCCTCACACATGCTAGGCAAGTGCTCTGCCACTGAACTATATGGCCTCAGCCCCAGATATTGCAATTTTAAAATAATGTGTCTCAAGAAAGATTTTGTGAAGGTGAAATTAGGGTGGCATTTAAATGTTGAGACTTGAAGCAGAATTTCAATAAACAGGTGTGAAATCAGGAAGAGGGAGCAGCCACAGCCACTGCCATGGAGGAGAGAGAGAAGAGGATAAGTCTGAAGAGCCACACCACGTGACTCTGTCTGGTAGACACTGAATACGTATAAGTGAATGACAAACAGGAGCCAGTGCTGGGATAGAGTGAAGTTAGATGGGAAGGTCTTCCCAATTCAGAAACCAAATCTCCCGTTTCAATTGATATCTTTTATTTTATTACTTAGTTATTTATTTTTGTGTTACTGGGGATTGAACCCAGGGCTTCGCACATGCTCTCTAAGCACTCTAGCAACTTAGCTACATACCCAGACCTTTTTGAATTCTATTTGGAAACACTAAATTGCTGAGGCTGGCTTTATACTTGCTGTCCTCTGCCTCAGCCTCCCAAGTCATTTGGATTATAGGCCTGGGCCATTGTGCCTGGAATTGCTGTCTTTTATATATGACTAAAAAAAAAAGCTCTAATGTCATTATAAGTTGTTTACATATTTACAAAGCCTCCTGAAAAGTGGAGAAGGTGACAAAATTGTCTCAATGATTACAAATTACCCATAAACTGGAAAGAAGGTGGTAAGTGGCTACTTCTGGTTTTTTTTCCTTTTTTTTTTTGTTTTCAGGAAGGTAGTACCAGGGATTGAACTCAACTCAGGGTTCCTTGACCACTGAGTTACATCCCCAGCCCTATTTTCTATTTTATTTAGAGATAGGCTGTCACTGAATTGCTTAGCACCTTGCTTTTGCTGAGGCTGGCTTTGAACTTGTGATCCTCCTGTCTCAGCTAAATCTGTTTTTTAATGCCTCTTTTACATATTACTTTTAGTAAGTAATAACTGGGACTTTGCCTTGGGGATTGGGAGCAAGTGATATTTATAATCTATGTCTTCTGATGGGCTGCGTTTGTGCAGAGATTGGTAAGGGAATCTCTGGGTGTCCTACAACCAGCTCTGAGGGCTATACCCATGTCTAATTTGTCATGAGCAAGGATGTTGTTGAGGGATGAGTAGGGTTTGGCTGAGCCCCAGCAGAGATCCCCAGACTAGGGCACAGGAGGGGGTGAAGCGCTCTGCTTGACTCCATTTTCTCCTCCCTGAACAGCAACTACGATGAACTGAATGTGGGGAAAAAAATGCTAAATTTAGGGCCTCCAGGATCTCTTCCTCCTTCCTTTCCCCTTTTTCTTTCTTCTCTCTCCTTCCCTACGGGTGTGTGTACACACCAATTCTAAGGCTCAGGTCACCTGGAGATTTGGTAGTGGGTGACCTGAGCCTTAGAATTGGTGTGCAGAGAGAGAATTGAAACAGTGGAGAAATTAATCTCAAATGATCCTAAAACTTGTATTCACCTCAAGAGCACCAAGACACAGATCACTAGATATGATTAATTAAAGCAATTAACAGAGACTGAACACCAGCCTTGTACAAATTACTGCACAGCTAGAGATGGAGAGAAGAGGACAGCACTGCAATTCAAGGTAGAAATTGTTAGCTTCATGACAATAATGAGTGCTTGTGCAGTTTTTAGTGTGAAGAGCTTTTCACATACAAGCTCACCTGGTCCTTTCAACCCCCATAGCAATGCATGTTATTAAGACAGTCAATTCACATAGGAGTCTGATGCTCAGAGAGATTTCGAGTATCAAAGTCACAGAGCTAGAGCTGAGATTAGGATCCACGTCTTCAGATGATAATATATATCATTCTCTTTAAGCACACAGGCTGATGGAAGCAGATATAAACATTTTCAGCTTATGGGAATGTGTAATCACAGAGCCAGTTTTATCTTTTCAGATGGCTTATTAATTAATGGGCCCACAGGAGAATAAAACCAAAACCCTTACCTTTTGCCACAGCTACTACCAACCAGCAGACCAATGACCAGGAGGAGAAGCAGGGTCTGTGAGCCATGGTTTCTACCTTGAGCTCTCACTGCCTCCAACCCCAATGTTGCTTTAAATGGGAGTTGGTGAGTCACCAGCAGCCTGATTCAGGTAATTTGCATTTGCTTAGTAGACCACAGCTATCTGGGCCTGTGGTGTGAGGGCAACAAATCTGTAAGGACATACCAGACAGTATGTATCAACTAGAAGTGTCTTGTTATGACAGCCAAGCATCATTCATCATGCCTTGATTTTGGACAACCACATCCTTGCTATCCTTTTAATCCCTCAAATCTACTCCCATGGTGGTGCCTTCTCTTTATCCGTGTGTATGAGTCTTCCTCTGCAGGAGAAGGGAGCTGTCTAGGCAATGCTCAGCACTGCTTCCCACTCTGGAGCTGACTGAGGGCGGAGGGCACTGTCCTGGGGCTTCCTGACCCAGTGGGATCGGGGTGTTAAGAAGCTCTTCTTGTTTCTGACCAGAGTTTATGATCCTTCTCTGCTTTTGTCCAGGATGCAAGGGAAGCATAGTCAGAAAACTATCTATCTTCCTTTGTCTCCATCACAGTCTCTGTTTAAATAACATGGAAACCTGGGAGCATAACTTAGTAAGCTGTCCTTTCAGGTTTCCCTCTAATTCACCAAAATGCCTACAAGATGGACATGGTATATCTATACCTGGTTGATTTCCTGAGAAGACTGTCAGCTGATGGGGGAATGGGAGGTGGTGCTCACAACTGATTAAGAATCTGGACTTCAGAGTTAGAAAAACTCCAATCTTGACTCCTTTTCTTACTAGTGGAGTTGCAGCGGTGAGTCCCTGAGGCCTTAGGTGCCTGATCTGTAAAGTGAGGTTTGCAATTCTGTCAGTTTTCGTTGCTGTAACAAAATACCTGAGAATCAACTTATAAGAAGCAGAAGTTTATTTTGGTTCACAGTTTTGGAAGTTCAGGTCCAAGTTAGTTGGCTCCATTGCTTTGGGCCTGGGGTGAGGCAGGAAGTGTGTGATGGAGCAAAACTGGTCACCACAAGATATAGGGGAAGCAAAGAGGGAGAGAAAGAGGGCCGGGGTTCTAGCATATCACTTGCATCCCTCAGTGATCATTCTTCTATTACTATCTTCCCCCAAAGTTCTACCACCTTCCAAGAGTGCCATAGTCTGGTGACCAAATCTTTAACACATGGGCCTTTGGGAGACATTCAGGATTCAAACTATGGCAAGTGCTTCCCTTAGAGAAGTGTGAATAAAGGGGATAATTGACATAAAGCTTCAACCACAGAGGCAGGCCTGTGAAAGGGAGTGTTTATGGTGGTTATCAAATTATAATAACCCTAATTTATAATTAATTTTTAGGAGGTTATACTTGCCAAATCATCCAGTCACTCAAACGACCCCCACTTTGAGCAGAACATGTCCTGGCACATTGTAGAAAAAGCAAAATTAAATATACTTCCCAGCTTTGAAGGGCAGAGTAAGAAATCTGCAAGGATAATCTAATGAGGTACCAATCATTCCGTCATTCAATCAGGATAAATTAGAAGGCAAACACTCACCAATAAGGAAGTGATGAATTCCACAGGCTTGATGTTAGTCCTATGCAAAGTTCTAGAATGGACAATTTTTTTGTTGTTATTATTATTATTATTTTGAGTTTTATCTTTTTTTCCCTCTATATGCTATCCTGGGTGATCTCTAACTCCTGGGACCAAGTGATCCTTCCTCCTTAGCCTCCCAAGTTGCTGGGATGATTGGCCTGTGGTGCCACACCTGGTTAGAACAGATAATTAAGTGATAACTTGTCAGCAGATAGAAATGGAATCACAAAACATCCAGGACAGGCTCAGTTCATTAGATCAACCCACTTCAGGACTCTTTATTGACTCTATTTATTCAAAGGCCAGACACGGGTCAAGGGGTGGGGGCTTACATTAGTGTTCCTTCCAGTCTGGCAGGGACATTACATATTAACCCAGGAGTAACATGAAGAGTTTTGAGTGTTATGAGAGAAGAAGTATGCCAACTACAGGAGCATGAAGCACAGAAACATCATCTGTAATTTTATAACTGTGAGTGTATTATATGGTCTGTCTGGTCCCCTGTGCTGGAGACATATTGCTATGCCAGTAAAACTAAATCCAGCCTAATTACTTACCTACTGCACAGTGTTTTGTTTTATAGGTCCGTGGTAATTTATTTAGCCAACCTTTTACTTGACAGACATTTGCATTATTTCTTTTGAAGTTTTTTCTTTTCTTTTTCGTGTTACTGGAGATTAAACCTAGGGATGCTCTACCACTGAGCTACATCCCCAGACCTTTATTTATTTATTTATTTTTTGTTTTGAGACAGTCTTGCTAAGTTGCTGAGGCTGGCCTCCAACTTTTTATCCTCCTATCAGTTTCCTGAGTCCCTGGGTGTGTGCCACCACTCCTAGTTTGTTTGTTTCTTTTTTTCTCTCTAACAAAAGCAAAGTAATATATTTTCTATTTGCAACTATTATTCTGAAATTTATAAAACAAAGGAACAAAATCTTTAAGGCACAAAATTCATTAGTGCATTTATTTTCTTATTTAAATAACTCATTTGTTTTATGTCCTCTGGCTTAACCTGTGAGGAACAGCTCTTTTTTGTCAGTACAATTTAGAAAGTCCTTGGGAAGAACTCTGGTTGGCCAAGCTGGGTCATGTGGTTGGAGATGGGGGAGGGATGAGTTATTGCAAGGAGGATTGGGAAATGGTAGCAGTGACTCTGTCACGGGTTCTGTTTGTGTGTAGTATACCTATGCTGTCATGTGACCTCCCCGCACAAATAATCAATCTGCAGTATGTGTTTGTTACCCAGAACGCCTTTCAACAGGAATCAAACAATCCATGTTGCTGTGAAAAATAAAAAAGAGCACTTTTTATTATTTGCTGCTTGGGGTTGCAATAAACATAGCAATACCTATGATGCTATTTTATGAGGGAGGATACCAGGAAATAGTTGTTGGTGACTGAAGGGTCTTCTGATTTAGACAGATTTGGCAGGATAACTTGTTCTAAACAAATGTCAATCAAGATGGGATTATTCATTGGTTTCAGTCTGTCTAGTGTCTGTATCTATATCACCTTGGCCAAATATTTTCAATACACTGGGGTGGTACATACTATAACAGAAGGAATACTAATCTAAAAATGTGCTGTTGAACTTTTTAGGAAACTTGTCCCAGGTTCCCAACTAGAGAAGTAGAGCACCTGGCACTGAGGAGGTTTGTCTTGGGTATGCGAACTTAACTCTCATCACTTCATTCATTCAAGTTACTTCCTGGGTACTCATGATATTCCAGGCACTTGGGGTCTAGACAAAAATACTTGCTTCAATGGAGTTAGCAGTCTAGTATGGTGGTCACAAAGAATAAATAATAAATATAACACAGGAATAAATTATTAGCATGCTAGAATATGTTAGAACATTCTGTAATATGTGCTACAGAAAAATAGAGGATGATCAGGGAAGAAATGTGGGGAGGTTGGAATTTTAATTTGAATATACTTGAATAAGGAGTTGAGGGAGGTGGGGAAATTATCCATGTGGGTTTCTAGGGGAAGAATGAATCAGACAAAAGATAACAGACTGTGGAAAGATCCTGAGGTAGAAGTTGGGACTGGCATGTAAAATACAATAGCACAGAGAGCTTTTTAGCTGGGTCAAGGAAAGGCAGAAGAGGGTAAAGAATAACATGAGGCTGGATCACTATTCTAATGAGTGAAACAGGGTGCCACTGGAGGGTTTTAATTAAAAAGGGTGTGATATGATCTGACTTATATTTTAAAATGACAGCTCTGTTCCTTGTGAACAGATTGTTGGAGGCAAGAAAGCCCAGTTATAGTAGATGGGCTGCAGTAGTCTTGAGGGAGATTATAGTGACTCAGATTGGGTTGGTAGCAATAGAAGTATGAGACATTTCAGGCATGCTTTAGAGTTTGAATTGGACAAGATTTCCTGGTGAATTGGAAGTAGTGTGAATCATAAATAACATTATAATTTTTGGTCTGAGCATTTGACCACTGGGGTTGGGTATGTTCAGATGATGAAAATATGATATGGTCAAATTAAAAATTTTGTGATTATATATATACATTTTATTGGAAGAATAAAAATCTCTTGCCAGGTGCGATAGCACACCCATGGTGGTACGCTCCTGTAATCCCAGTGGCTTGGGAGGCTGAGTCAGGAGAATCACAAGTTCAAAGCCAGCCTCAGCAACTGTGAGGCACTAAGCAACTCAGACCCTTTCTCTAAATAAAATACAAAATAAGACTGGGAATGTGGCTCAGTGGTTGAGTACCCCTGAGTTCAATCCCCAGTACCAAAAAAAAAAAAAGTCTTTTCTGGAGGATGCAGAAATACTAGGTAAATACTAGGAAACTGTATAACCCAAGATCATTTTGAAGAGTTTGTGGAGGGATGTCTAAGGGGTGAGTTCCATGAAACTGTAGCACTAAAGAAGTGAGGTTTTCATATCTGGATTCTAAGAAGGATTTGCCTTTCAGCCTGCTTGATGGTGTGCCAGGAGATTCTTATGTCCAGAGCAGTTTTGCTCGGGGTGGGGGACAGAAAGCAGGGCGTTGAGCAGCTGAGTCAGGGAGTGAGGCAGTTTCTGCTGACACATGTGGGCTCTGGCTTCTCTGGTTTCCCCATTTTATCACCTGTAATTCCCTGTTTGTCAGCTTTTCATCATGTGGACAAAAATACCTAACAAGAACAAGAACAACGTAGAGGAGAAACAGTTTATTCTGGGCTCATGGTTTCAGAAGATTAGTCTGACTCCAGAGGTTGGCAGACTCCATTGCTTCAGGCTAGCTTGCATCTTTGGCTTTCAGGCCCTTAAGGACTAATAGGATTTCTGCCTGAGGGTGAGTCTGCTTTACCTGCCAGTCTTATATCCACTGCTTGGTTGTGGGAAAGGCCTGTTCTGCTGCTAGGAGTTGGAGAAGCAAAGGTGAACTGCCCTAAACAGCATTAGCTACTCTCCCTTTTGTAACTGAAATGCTGCAGTGGCCTCAAAGAAACGTCCCACACTCAAGGGGCTCCAATGGGTAATCAAGTAATCCGAGGAGCAGCCCTTAGGCCCACTGTGAGTCAGGATTCTGTATGTGTGTGTGTGTGTGTGTGTGTTTGGGGGAGTTGAGCTACACTGAGGGAAGCCTTAGGCTGGCCAGGATACATGCTCTTTTGGGGGGATATAAATGTTCTGTGGCTGGCGCTCAGATGAAGGTGCAGCTCTGAAGTGGCCTGGATAATTTCTGTGCAAGTCTTGCTGGGGAATCGTCTGCTGGGATTTCTCCTAAAAGGAGTTTCACGTACCTTAGCCACACTTCCAACTCCCTCATTTTGCAGATTGGGAGATTGAGACCTGGAGAAGGATCCTAAAATCATCCCAGTGATTTAACAACAAAAGAGCAGTAACATCCTGGTCAGGGTCAGAGCCCTCATTTATCAATAGTGTGAAACCCCAAATTAAATTAGTGGGATAAGTCAATATGTTAGTCCCTGCTGTCCTACCAATTAATTATGAGACCTTGGACCAGTCAGCCTTATTACCTCTTAATTTTCTCATCTATATTTAATTTACTACATTCTAAACATTGGACATAATTAAATCACCCATTCATTAAAACAACCCAATGAGCACTGGGAGTGTGGCTTAGTGGTAGAGCATAGCATGTGCGAGGCCCTGAGTTTGATCCCAAGTACTGTGAAAAACCAAAACAAAATCAAATGACATTGACTCAGTGAGGTACTATTGTCATCCTCACTTATTTCAAAATGAGAAAACTGAGGCACAGAGAGTTAAGTCAAGTGACTAACAAGTGGCAGAGCCATGCTGTAAGCCCAGGCAATTTAGCTTCAGAATTCTTGCCCTTAATCATTGTGTCGGGTGTGTTTTGTTCCCTTTGCTGTCAACTTATTTCAGCAAACATTCCATGAGAGTATCCTTAAAATTTGCTCATGTACTATAGCACAAAAGATTCAGTTTGCTGTGGTAGAGCACTTGACTAGTGTGTGTGAGCACCTGGCGTTGGTTCCCAACATCAAGGTTAAAAAAAGAAGAGAAAAGGAAAATATTCTTAGGTAAAATATATAAATAAAAGAGGGAAATAGGTGCTTCCACCTGCACCACCCTTAATTTAGAAACCCTACGAGGGGTGATGGGGGATTAGAAAAGATAGACACACAGAGAGAGAAAGCTGAGACCAGGTGGTTCATTACACCCTGAGGGAGATGTAATGACCCAGAACTAGTTCAGCATGTTTATTTTATAGGTTTTTAACATCAAAAGGGTTTTCTGTGAGAAAGCTTCTTCAAAGCAAGCAGGACCAAGGTTGAAGACTAGTGGCCCAATTAAAATCATCCACTTATGCTCATGATTCTTTACCACTGGCAGCTGGTATCTGAACTCAGGGTCAAGACTGATAGTCTTGTGGCAAACATGAACCTCTTTTGAACAGGGCGTCACCATGGCAACTGGGCAGTCTCACTCCTGTCTTTGCACCAAGAGTTCCCAGCAGAGGAACACTTTTGTGGCCAGACAATCAGATACCGTAATTCAAATCATGGCTCCTGACAGATAGGGAGATGTAGATTAAAAGAGATATAAGAGGGCTGGTGCTGTGGCTCAGTGGCAGAGCACTTGCCTAGCATGTATGAGGCACTGGGTTCGATCCTTAGCACTGCATACAAAAATAAATAAAATAAAGACATGCTATCTACAACTACAAAAAAAAAAAAAAAAAAAGAGAGAGAGAGAGATAAGAGAGGTAATGACCAATTATAATCCTTATATTTTCAAATAAACAAATTCTAGTTAAAAATTAAGACAACAGGGGAAACAAACCCTGACTGGGTATTTGATGATATTAAGGGATTATTGTGAAATATTTTTAGGTCTGATAGTGATATATGGCTTTGCCAATAGGGTTAAATACACTTTTTTGTTTGGAACTACAATATTATAAAAAAGTTTTTAAAAATTGCCCTGCAAAAGTTTTTATTTTCTCTGAAAAACATCAAAATCTCCATAGCCCTACCTCACTGGGCTAGTGTGGGCAAGTTACTTTTCTCTGTTAAGTCCTTGACTGTAAAACAAAGACAACAGTTACCTCCCTTACAGAGCAACAGCCCACAGGGAGAGTGTGAGTGGGTGGTAAAAGATTACCTGCTTAAGATTCACTTCCCAAAGGTATATTTATTTGGGGGTGACCCACAGTGCTTTACATGTGGCAGATACTTAGTAGATTGATCTGGACTGTGTGAGTACATAAGCATATGAATGAACACTGTGAATGAATTTGGTTTTTAGTGAATTGGAGAACCATTCTGTCAAAAGATTAGGAATAGAATTTAGTTTCTAACCCAAATATAGTGATAAAATAATTCTGTATATTTCCTGGTAGACCCAATTGTATATTTAAAGGCAGCTTTCTCTACCATGATGGTCATAACGAGGATTAAATACTTCTTTACTGTTCCCCTTATTCCTGTGGACAAATGTCAATGAAGAGATTTGCTAAAAAAAAAAACTTCATTCTGCAGCCATGCCCCTCCACCATCCCTCTCAGAGACCATTCTCTTCTCTCATTTCCACTGTCAATGTTTGTGCCTGCCAGTCCAACACCCATTCCAATTCTAATTACCTAAGTTTCCCCTACAAAATCTTCATTTCCTACTTTCCTTATTCCAGAATTGGGGGGTAACCTATGCCTACCAGTCATAACATAGCATTTCTGTGGCCACAGCACGATTTAGGCATTTAACACAAGCCAAGTCAATTAGGCCAAGTCAAGAGTAGGCCTGGGACATTTGTATGAGTGACTAGAAAGACAGCACACATTTTGCATTTGGACTTGAAGGTGTCAGGAGACATACCTACCTGAGAGGCTTTGTGATTACTTCGTGATTAACAAAGTGGAGAGATACCAGATTCTGACAACACCATTTGAACTCATATGCCAGCTCTACATTGCAGATGGTTTGCTAAAACGAATTCTGAAACATAACCATTTGGGTAGAATGAAAATTCTATATTAAGCCAAGTATTAAAAAGTGGAAAAAAGAATTATTAACTTTTATACTCTTGTATTTGATCATAGACTATTGATGTAGTCATGGAGTGGAACATTGTTTTAGATTGAGTGAAGCATTAGCAAAGATCAAGATCATTTTTTTTTTTTTTCTCATTCCATGAATCCTTTCTGCGGGCTGGGAGAAACCAGGTTACTAGACAGATTCCTGTACCCACGGATACTTGAGTGTCTTGCCTGTGGGTGTGGTAAGGTGACTTCACTCTGAGTGCTCAACCGCTCTGTTTGTGCCTGTCAGCAGCATCAGACAAATTCAGATTGTGGTGATGAGTAACTCTGGGTTCCCCTCAGCTTCAGGCGCAGGATGAGTTCACATTTCATCCTTTGGCCTCCACATGCCCCTGCTGGAGCTTCTGAATGGAATGACTGGAGTCTGGCCTTCAACACCTTGTGAAGATTCCACAACAATTCAACCTTTAGTGAATTGAAATTTCTGGGCCTGGCATTGCAAATCTGAGTGGACAATAATGGAATTCTTCTCATAATCCTTATCATTCAACCAGCTGTGAGACCTTGGACAAGTTAAGTCCTTGTCTGTAAAACAATGACAACAGTTACCTACCTTACAGGTTGTTGTGTGTTAAATGAGTTAATAAAACCGTAAACACTTTGATTGGCACCTTATATAGGTTAGCTGTCAGTGTTACCGAAAATAATATTTTTCTTCTTCAAACAAATGTTTCTTCTTGAACATAGACATCTGAAGCAAAACAAAGGAAGGGAAGAAATATGAGGATTTATGAAAATTCTGATTAGCTCTATGAGTGTGTGTTAACACTTTTCAGCAGGATTTAGAAGGCATGTTTTTAGTTTTCTGAGGTAATAAGTAAGTTGCTAAACTATCTGAATGTTCTTTACAGGGGTTGGAGTTATTTTTCAGGTTCTTTTAGGTCACCTGTCATAGCTAACTTAAGTAAAACCTTGTAACCACACCTCCCCAGACAGTGGTTTGTAAAAATCTCAATAGTTAAGCTGGCAGGGGTTTGGGAGATTTCTTTAAAATACCCAGGTGTCACAGGACATGGTAGTAATTCAAGACTTGGAACTAACTTCAGCCTATGTCCCAGGGAAATGATGAAAGTAATAATAAGCAGCCCTTAGTTTTTTAGAGTTGAAATGGTTTTGTTTAAATTTGTAGAATGCTTATTTTAGTCTCTTTCCTATTGCTATAACAGAACACCTATGACTGTAGAATTTCTGAGGAAAAGAGGTTTATTTAGCTCACAGTTCTGGAGGCTGGAAAGTTCCAAGATCTAGTGGTCCCATCTGGTGAGAGCCTCATGCTACATCATAACATGATGGCAAGAATGGAAGAGGGGAGGGGACAAAAGGGACTGGATGCTTTAAAATAGTCAGTTCTTTTGATAATGAACCCCCTCTCAAGGGAACTACATTAATCCCTTCAGGGCTCCCCCCATGACCCATACACCTTCCACTAGGCCCCACTTCCAACACTGCTGTATTGGGGGACAAGCTTTCAATGTGAGTTTTGGTGGGGATAAATTGTATTCAAATGATAACAAATTGTTGTAATTTTAAAAAAGAAAAATTTCCCTCTCTCTCTGCCTACCATTTTTCTTTTTTCCCTCTACCACATCCATCTTTCTCTCTCTGTCTCACAGGAAGTATATGCACCCCCCTGGAAAAGTAATCACTTTTAATAATTTGGCATATATCCTTCGATTCCCTCTTCTATACACTTACATATGTTGTACATATATATGTATCTATATTTTGTAGATATTTATATCTATACACAGATATAGAAATTGTTTTGTAACTGAGTTTTAAGCAATGTTATATAATGAGGTACTATTTTGAGTTGTCCATAAACTGTGCTTTTCCCCCCCATTTAAATTTCTCTTCATGTTGATAAATATAAATTAATCTTCCTTTGGAATTGTTGCTTGTTTACTATTTGATTCTATGGACTCACCATAGTTTTATGTACTCAGCTATCATTTGATGGACATTTGGGTTTCCTTCCATTTTCTTACAAATAATCCTCACACAGCCCATTTTGGGCACAAGCAGAGTCCTTTTGCCATCAGGTACATTTAAAAATAACTGGCTAAAATGGTTTTTAGTTCTAACTTATAGAATACATTTGCATTTCACTCTTAAATTTATCAGTCTCTATGGTGCCTTGCTGAGTTTGATCCTTTGGATAGTCACATTTTGTTTCTAGTTAAAACCATTTCCTATCTTTGCAAGGAAATATGGCCAGATAATGTGATGGCTACCAAAAGGTGAAATGTGTATCTCAAAAATCAAGATACTCCCCACTTTTCAGACCCATTTACAGGTGTCATAGTAAGAGTGGCAACCAAAAAATTTGAAAAATCCCCAGAAATTCAGAGGTAAATTCTTTCGTCTATGTAGCTTGTCAACATTTTGTACCTTTATGAAATCTACCTTTTAAATAAATACCAGTACCCTTCAGTTTTACTGAAATTGAATGTAGAGTACATTTACTGCAAGAAGAAGGCAAGAAGAATGCCTTCTTCACAAGGTACTCATCACTAGTATTTATGGTTAGCATCCTGCACAGTCTGTACAGCTCACTCTTTATTTAATAAAACTACTTCTGTTTTGAGAATCATGATGCTCAGATCTGCTGAGTCAGATGTGATGTTACCTTTCAAATGCTTAAGCTCTGCCACAAGATCTGGGAATTTAGATTGTGTTGGATACAACACAAATCTGTCGGGAATTCCTCTGCTGTCAACTGACCACAAACCATAGTTTAGGTGGGTTCAAATATTGCCTGTTTAGTGACTTGCCACTCTGAGACAGCGCTCCTCAAAGTAGCCAATCTGTGAACTTTTTCTGACTGGTCCAAGAATGAGATAAACATTTGTTGCTGAATGTCAAGCAACATAATGTTTCACTTACAGAAATAAAAAAAAATGTTGACTGAATTAAATAGTGTGCTTCACGATGTAGTTGATCTGCATTCTGGTGCAAGTTCCTTAACTCTTATGCTGGTCTGTGAGCCACATTTTGGGTAGCCCTATTTAAGGTGTTTTATAAAGTTGGATGAATGGGTGAATGAATTAAACATGTCTAAGATGGATTACATAGCTTGTCAGAGCTGGGGTGGGAGGATGGAGAGGAGGATGGTAATTTTTTAATTTATTTTTTGTTATTGGGGATTAAACCTAGAGCCATTTTACTCCTGAGATACATCCTCAGCCCTTTTTATTTTTTGAGAAGTTGTTGAGGCTGACCTCAAAATTACAGTACTCCTGCCTCAGCCTCCCAAATTGCTGAGACTACAGGTGTGCACCAGCATACCTGGTAAGAGTGGTGATTAAATAAAAATTTCTTTTTAAATAGGACAACGTTCCTTGCCTGTTTTTGAACTGCCACAAGAAGGGAAGGGTATTTAAGGCACAAATAGCCTATCTGGTCCCTGTTGACTATACCACTACCATTTCCTGTTAAATGTGTTTTCTTCTCTTGCTTTTTGCCCTTCTTCCTGTTCTTATTCTTTTCCCCATGTTTCTGGGATAGGATTTAAGGAAGAAAGACAACAATACATGGAAGGCTCATTGTATGGTCTGTGTTTTATATGTGATGTTTCATATGTAATAATTTTTTTCTCCACAACTGAGTAACAAAGATATTATCATCTACTTTGTAAAATGGTCAGAGAATTTCAGTTATTTTATTAGATCCCATGAGTAATAAGTGGTGGCACACTCCTGTAATCCCATAGACTCAGAGACTGAGACAGGATGATTGTGAGTTCAAAGCCAGCCTCAGCAACTGGCAAGGTGCTAAGAAACTCAGTGAGACTCTGTCTCTAAAATACAAAAAATAGAGCTGGGGTTGTGGCTCAGTGGTTGAGTGCCTCTGAGTTCCCCAGTACCCCCCAGCAAAGAAAACAAAGGAGACAGAAGTAAGATACAGAGGCAGCGATGGCTAAGTGGCAAAATGGCTGCTCATCTGAGTGTCTGACTTTATATCAATGGGTTACATTTGGTCACAATGTAAGATGTTTTGCTTATGATTAGACATGTGCTCTGGCCAAGCATGCATTGGTTATCTCAAGAGTGCCTGGGAAAGACTGCAAAATATACCAAACGTGGGAAGCAGGTCCCACCTCCCCGAGTTTGCTCACTAAAGGAACGCTGCCTTGTACATTTCCATGGTCCGAACCGCTACATTCAGACTCCCCCACCCCCACCAAAAAAAAAAAAGAACAGACCTGCCTGGGATTTGAACTCAGGTCAACTCCCGGTATCTATTTTCACATCCGAGGAAGGTGCTAACAGAATCCTGTTCTGAGACATGATTTAGTAGGTGTGCATGCTGACACACTCACGCTTCAGGGTGGAGTTTTGAGCTCTGCCAGTTTCATTCTCAATACCTTTAGTTGCCACAATATCTGAATGAGATATATCTGCGTGTCCCTGTGGGTTGCTGCAGAAGTCATCCATGAGCTGTGGGTGAACTGCGCAACATTCCAGCCACTGGGCCGAGAAGGCAGGTCTTGGGAACTCCCAGGCAGAATCCACCGGTTCCAGAATGTCCAGTTCACTTTGGCGCCCTGTTCTAGTTCACCACTCACGTTCTAGCACAGCCCCCGAGATGAGAGTGACCCATTAAGAGTCAAACAGCCTCCTTATCCTCACCCATATCCTGTTTTCCATGAAGAAGCAAGCCCTGAGACAGGACTCCTCCCACACTGAAAGCTTAACCCTACAGATCCCTTTTGATCTGTACTGCCCTAAATAAAGCAAGCCCAGGTGCCTTCTTTGTTAAAGCTGCACCCCTCTGGTTGACTTAATATGTCACTGCCTTCACTCTTTAAAATATGTTTCTGGTCTTTTGTGTTTATTTTGTGGTGCTAGTTTCATAGCTTTTATTTTGCAGCCAGCCCATCCATCAGATGGGTACCCATTCCCTTGCCCAGGCAGGACGTGAAAGAAAGGCTGTGAATGCCTTCATCTTATCCATCTCTGTATCCTTCATGATAGTGCATGGGGCTTTGAAACCAGTCAATGCCATAGATTATTACATGGAATATTTTAGTAGATAATTCTTCATGTGCCTGACAAGGTAAGTTTTAAAAATAAATGAACAAACACTTCAACATGTAATGGTATAAATCTATTGAGTATGGGTGTTGTCCATCAAAGCAGGGCACAGTGAAGACAAATGCAGAATTTAAGAAGTTATCGTCCTGAGATAATAATTCTTGGCATTCCTAGATTATGGTTTTTAGAACTCTTTTACCAGTCTGTATCCTCCTTGAGGACAGCAACTGGGTCTTTCTTTGTTGTTTCTCCAAATGTCTAGTACATTCTCTGGTAATGTAGTTCTTATACTTGAAGACTGAGAATTGAACTGTTGAATGTACTAGGTCCATAGTGTCTCCTCTTCATCTGCTGTTATTAATGTTCACCATCAATTTCCATGTGGCTCCTAGATTACAAATTGCCACTTCTGCTCCTGAGTTTCCTGGCTCTGATTCAACATTTTCTTCTTCCATGTCCATTTCCACCAACTCCTGTTGTGCATCAGGCACAATTCTATGATCAGAGGCACAGCTGGGGGAAGGTGAGTGATATGGGAGCAGGGGATGGACAGGTGTTTCTCTAGGACATTTGTTGGGGGCTGTGAATGAATTATGGGTTTGTTTGAGTAATCTCAAGGCAGGGACATTGCTCTTTTGAGAACTCTAGGTGAAATCCCACCAATTGGAATGGAGTTTGGATGGATTTGTGTCATACTGGAGGTACCTGGATGGATTTCAATGTTTGGAGGATTACATACACACACATTTCAGGGAGAAAAAGAGAGGAGGGTACTTTAAAGACAGTTTAGGATAAAAGACATTATGTAAGAATAGCCCAATAAAAATAGTGCCAGGGTGCCAGGACTACAGGAAGGCATTATTTTAGGTTTTTGGATAGTTTTGTAGATTGCAAAACTAAGCAGACTATGACAAGCAATTCCAGAAGGACACCTGTGTTGAGGTCTCCAAGCACCCCCAGGTTTGATGATTCCTGGGAAGGCTCACAGAATTTAGCATATAGTTGTATATATGGCTAGGATTGCAGGGGGAAAAAATACAAAAAACAAAATCAGCAAAGGGAAAACACATGGTGCAGTCTAGGGGAAATCAGATGTTAAGCTTCCAAGAGTCCCTTCTCAATGTTGTCACACAGTACACACTTAATTCTTATAGCACCAAACTGTGACTATATGAAATGGTGTATACCATGGAAGTGTGTGAAAGATTCAATGTCCAAGGTTTTCCTGGGGGCTGGTCATAGAGGCACACTTTGCATAACACATTCCAAAATTCCAGATTCCGGAAAGCAAGCGGATGTCAATTACAAACCACTTTGTTTTTTAGTTAAGATTGAGTGAGCCACTCTTATCAGTTAAGGAATGATGGGATTCCTCCCCAAATTCAAGTCCCTCCTCCCCAACCTTGCAATCCCATAGGCCTTCCTAAGACTAGTGTCTGGCCTTCCACTGTTAACACTTTTTTGCATACTATCCCCCTATTTCAGTTTTCTGTGGATTTGCTATGGGGCTACAAGATGCTGGAGTGGTAGCCTTCATCATATCTCCATTTGATTCACCACTCTGGCCTCTGCAAAATTTAGACTGATCCCTATAAAAGGATCATATTCACATGGAATGGACAACAGTATGTAGTCTTGCCCCAAGACATTAATGCTATTGCTTGTTATTAAGAAACCTAGACCAGATACACATTTTAAAGAAAATTAGATTACCACAAGGATGGATTATGTTACTCCAATGAGATGAGCAAGAAGTGACTAATAAAATGGAGGCCTAGATAAAGCATCCATACTCTAGAGAGTGAAATAAAAATCTATAACAATTTTAAGAGGCCTACATATCAGTAAAAATTTGGGGGAGGTATGTCCAGTGATCTGGTACACTCTGGGACATCTTCTCTAAAGTGAAGACAAATTACTATAATTTGTATGCCCGACTCTGAAGGAGGCACAAATGCCTGATAGATGTCTTTGGATTTTGAAGGTAGTCTATTTCACACCTAGGAATATTATTGCTTTTGCCTATATACTGGATGACATGAAAGTCTAAGTTTTGAGTGAGGTCTAAAACAGGGGGGGGTTGTATGGCCAGTTCTTATTGTGGTCTGATCCAAGACTGTCACTTGGGTTATCCAACTGGGAATACCCATCTTAAGAGTTACTGATGGAGCAAAACTACAACTACCTTATATTTGATAAAGGGGCTAAAAGCATGCAATGGAGGAAGGATAGCATCTTCAACAAATGGTGCTGGGAAAACTGGAAATCCATATGCAACAAAATGAAACTGAATCCCTTTCTCTCGCCATGCACAAAAGTTAATTCAAAATGGATCAAGGAGCTTGATATCAAATCAGAGACACACCGTCTGATAGAAGAAAAAGTTGGCTACGATCTACATACTGTGGGGTCTGGCTCCAAATTCCTCAATAGGACACCCATAGCACAAAAGTTAATAACTAGAATCAACAAATGGGACTTACTCAAACTAAAAAGTTTTTTCTCAGCGAAAGAAACAATAAGAGAGGTAAATAGAGAGCCTACATCCTGGGAACAAATCTTTACTCCTCACACTTCAGATAGAGCCCTAATATCCAGAGTATACAAAGAACTCAAAAAATTAGACAATAAGAGAACAAACAACCCAATCAACAAATGGGCCAAGGACCTGAACAGACACTTCTCAGAGGAGGACATACAATCAATCAACAAGTACATGAAAAAATGCTCACCATCTCTAGCAGTCAGAGAAATGCAAATCAAAACCACCCTAAGATACCATCTCACTCCAGTAAGATTGGCAGCCATTAGGAAGTCAAACAACAACAAGTGCTGGCGAGGATGTGGGGAAAAGGGTACACTTGTACATTGCTGGTGGGACTGCAAATTGGTGCAGCCAATTTGGAAAGCAGTATGGAGATTTCTTGGAAAGCTGGGAATGGAGCCACCATTTGACCCAGCTATTCCCCTTCTCGGTCTATTCCCTAAAGACCTAAAAAGAGCATGCTACAGGGACACTGCTACATCGATGTTCATAGCAGCACAATTCACAATAGCAAGACTGTGGAACCAACCTAGATGCCCTTCAATAGATGAATGGATAAAAAAAATGTGGCATTTATACACAATGGAGTATTACTCTGCATTAAAAAATGACAAAATCATAGAATTTGTAGGGAAATGGATGGCATTAGAGCAGATTATGCTAAGTGAAGCTAGCCAATCCCTAAAAAACAAATGCCAAATGTCTTCTTTGATATAAGGAGAGTAACTAAGAACAGAGTAGGGTCAAAGAGCATGAGAAGAAGATTAACATTAAACAGGGATGAGAGGTGGGAGGGAAAGGGAGAGAGAAGGGAAATTGCATGGAAATGGAAGTAGACCCTCAGAGTTATACAAAAGTACATACAAGAGGAAGTGAGGGGAAAGGGAAAAATAATACAAGGGGGACAAATGAATGTCAGTAGAGGGGGCAGAGAGAGAAGAGGGGAGGGGAGGGGAGGGGGGATAGTAGAGGATAGGAAAGGCAGCAGAACACAACAGACACTAGTATGGCAATATGTAAATCAATGGATGTGTAACTGATGTGATTCTGCAATCTGTATATGGGGTAAAAATGGGAGCTCATAACCCACTTGAATCAAAGTGTGAAATATGATATATCAAGAGCTATGTAATGTTTTGAACAGCCAACAATAAAAAAATTAAAAAAAAAAAATAAAGTACCCTTAAAAATTAAAAAAAAAAAAAGAGTTACTGATGGAGGGAAAGATGTGAAAAAAGTCACGACACATTACTACAGAAAATATTTTATTTTTCAAATAAATAATAGATTTTTCACTCAATTATTTCTATAAGAATTTTCTTTTTATTAATATGAAATATATATTTAGTACATTTCGTTTTCTCAAAATGAAGACTATGGTGTAACCATAAGTCTATTTTCAGAAATTTCAGAAATAGCAACCAAAGTCTATTTTCAGAAATTTAACCTGATATGAAAAAAAATACCACATCAAGTCCTTCACTCTAATTTGGTACTGAAGTTGAACTGGTGGTATTGGTGTGCTCTGGGATTTAGTGGCCACTACAAGCTTTAAAAAGTAATGGGAACCCTTGGGGCAGCCTTGGTTGGATGGGGGGATGATGTGGTTTCACAACATACAAGACAGTTCTTCCCAGA